TCATTTTCAATAAATGATTCAGTTATTCACTCATGAAACTTCATGTTTCATTGCTAGATGTGTCATTTTTGAAGAATTATTCAGTGGCTTATTTTTGATGGCTAGTTGATGGCCACCTATTGGTCAAGTAATGTAATTGCTGCCTACAACTTTAATTTTTGAACATCAAGTTAAATGCTTATGATGGTAATTTTAATCTTTACCGGTCTTTATCAGTAGTTTTATCTGTTTTTCAAACTGTAAACTGCTATCCCAGTACTTCTATGTTATTTGACTGTAACTTCATAACTAAAAGACTAAAGACTGAATCTCTTTCTTGATTTTTGCGTTTTCAGATTCAAATGCAGTGTTTCGAAAGATTAATTAACATATGCAAATCACCATTATTTATTATTAGTAGTATTATATTTCTGAGAAATCGGCTGTTTTAAGGAGCCAGAGTGACAGATTGTGTCTTTTTGTTGCATGTCTCTGACATTATATCCATTAATGTATGTTCACCAGGGAACAGCTATCAGTAGTGTGTTAAAATCATTTTTTGAATGCACGCATACTTTTCACTTTCGCTTTAAAAATCATAATTATTATATAATTAATGCTATATGGAGCGATATTATGCATAGTTGCATACTATACTATATGTTGAAGTCAGAATTATTAGCCCCTTTTTGAATTTTTTTTCTATTTTTAAATATTTCCTAAATGATGTTTAACAGGGCAAGGACATTTTCACTGTCTGTTAATATATTTTCTTCTAGAGAAGGTCTTATTTGTTTTATTTCGGGTAGAATAAAAGCAGTTATTAATTTTTTTAAACCTGTTTTAAGGTCAAAATTATTAGCTCCTTTAAGCTATATTTTTTCAGTAGTCTACAGAACAAACCATCATTATACAATAACTTGCCTAATTACCCTAACCTGGCTAGTTAACCTAATTAACCTAGTTAACCCTTTAAATGTCGCTTTAAGCTGTATAGAAGTGTCTTGAAAAATATCTAGTTTAAAATATTATTTACTGTCATCATGGCAAAGATGAAATAAATCAGTTATTAGAGATGACTTTTCAAAACTATTATGTTTAGAAATGTGTTGAAAAAATCTTCACTCCCTTAAAAAGAAATTGGGGAAGAAAATAAATGGGGCTAATAATTCAGGGGGGCTAATAATTCTGACTTCAACCGCACATATATGTATAGTGGGGTTGTCAAAAGTAACAACTTTTTGTACCAATAAATATTGACATTAAAAAAAACATCTGTTTCCCCGCCAACATTTGAGCACTGCACTGTTAAGCATATTCTTAAACACTGCTGATTGGCCATTGTGTTCACATTTAACAGATATAACTGTGATTGGCTCTAAAAATCATCACTTCACCACTGTTGAGCACGTGAACACAGTGGCCAATCTGCAGTGTTCAAGAACATGCTCAACAGGGCTGAAATGCTTTCAGGAAATAAACATTACTTTATTTAAACATTTATATTCCATTACTATCGCATTCTGTTTAGCTCATTCTAACTTTACACATCACAATTGTGTTTCAGTTTTGATTAATCATTCAGCCCAGGCACAGATTCACAAATTCAGAAGCAGATGTATTAGTTTTTGAATTATAGAGTCTGCTGTTAAACTGAGCTAAATGTTTATCTTTCTACGGTGGGCAAGTAATATTATATTATCAGTGCACTGCTGAACACTGTTGATTACAACAACAAGCTTTTTACTTTATTTGACATTTTACTATCACTGCATTGCAAATATTCATGTAAAGTTGGTCATATTGCCTCATTCTATTATGTAAAGTTTACAACCTGAAGCACATTTTTATGTTATCTGACAACATTTTTACAATGCATAATAAAGAATATGTTTGCCTTGCTGCTTTAATGTATATGCCACATTTAAGAGCAGAAGTCACAACACAATGAACAAACTCAGCAAATACTAGAACCTCCTGCTCAACACACACACACTTACTTCCGTTGTGTTTATAAGAGCTTAGAGTAAGAGCATACTATTACTGTTTTGTAGTGGACTGTAATACATACCATTACCCTGTTAATGGTCTCCATAGCTTTTCAACACTTTGCCCTTAATCTGAAGAATGAGGTGTGATTTCAAGTAGTTGTGTTCAGACCACATGGCATCATTTAGACACACAATTTAGAGTGCGTGATTTCCTGAACGCCAGAGTCAAGTGACCAGAAGGTGGCCCATATGATTCGGATTTTGGAATATTGGAATAACAACTAGTCCGAATAGTAAACAGTGTGTTTTTTTATACACTTTAAATTAAAGATTAGTTGAAAACAGCATCACGCATAGCTTCACGAAGTTTAAGAAATGCTCATTCACATGTTATCTTAAACATGAGAATATAGTTTATTAGTAGTGAGTCATTGTAGATTGATTTCACAATACACTTTGTGATCATGGTTACCAGACCTGGTCTATGCAAACATTATGTCCAGGATATAAACAAAACATTCTGTTCCCTTCTAGTCTATATACATTACCTGAGCCAATAAAAACATTTTGTGATTGTGTGGTGACTGAACTTTGACATCCATGAAAATGGTGCGATAATTGTGCAGGGTTTTTCTTCATATCGAGTGCAGAAATGTCATATAGGATCATTAGCTGTGCATGTGATGTATTGTTTTAGGGTCATTCACTGCACACACTGTGCAAGGTTCATCATACATTTCTCATGGTAGTTGAAGTAAATGAGCTATTAATGGACGCACAGAGACGTTTTACCCTCAGTCCGAGAGTAATTGCCAGTGAAGGAATGCGTAATCTTTTGCAGTGCGTTTAGGCTAATCTGAAGCTCAGCAGTTTAGATCATATTGCAGCAGCGGCTTGATGTTTTGGTTTTCGGTGCTACTTAGAGTGTTGTAATTTCTGCTTGTGTCAGTGTCAGTGCAGTGAGTGTTAGATGGCAGCAGGCAGCAGCTGAGGTCTCATGTCATCAGTCCTGGCCCATATGGCCTCACGTGTCAGCGTTCATTAAGGTGAAGAGTTGTAATGAAAGATAGCAAGGAATCAAGCATTGAGTGACTTGGGCTTACGGTCAGAATCAGATACTCTCTTTACAGGATTAGCTGCTTCTGCACATCCCCCCCATCCTAATGATCGCCCACACACACAAACTCACACACGCGTTCTTTGTGTTTATATGAGTTTATTACTGCATGGTTGGTTTGGTCAAGAATTTAGACACATCTATATAATACACAATCATATATCTTGGTGTGATGCAACAAGTTTGCAATGACACAGTTTGTCTGACCACACCGAGCATGAAACTGCTGCGTAATGTAACACAATCATATCCTGAAGATGTGTTTAATGTTAGGGATGTGCAAAGCGGACTACTTGGTGGCTTGGCTCAATGTCTAGCTCGCTGTATAATTAGGCCATGCTTATAATGAAGTGGTTACAAACCGGCCATTGCCAACAAATGAAAAGGTTTAAGGGGTCTTAGTGGTTTTCTTCTAGAATAAAAGTTCAGTATATGACATGTGATATATATATATATATATATATATATATATATATATATATATATATATATATATATATATATATATATATATATACCATTTTAGGGACAAAATTATTAGCCCCTTGAAGCTAAAAATTTTGTCGATAGTCTACTGTACAAACCATCATTATACAATAACTTGCCTAATTACCCTAACCTGCCTAGTTACCCCAATTAACCTAGTCAAGCCTTTAAATAATACTTTAAGCTGTATAGAAGTGTCTTGAAAAATATCTAGTCAAATATTATTTACTGTCATCATGACAAAGATAAAATAAATCAGTTATTAGAAATAAGTTTTTAAAACTATTGTGTCTAGAAATGTGTTGAAAAAAAATTAATCAGAAATTGGGGACAAAAATAAACAGGGGGTCTAATAATTCAGGAGGGCTAATAATTTGAATATATATATATATATATATATATATATATATATATATATATATATATATATTTTTTTTTTTTTGTACAGTAATAAATAAATTAATAATATTTATAGTACATTATAATCATAAAATCAATTCAATAATATAAATCATATAAAGTTTTAGTCAAAATATTTGGCCAAATTTTTCATTTCTACAGCAAATCTTTTTTTTTTTATAATTATTGCATTTATTTATTTATTTATTGTATATTTATTCATTTATCACAGATGGTTGTAGGAGTTGTAGTTGTAGGCCTTGTAGGAGCAGAAGATAAATACAATTTGATAAAAGGTGTTATCATATGTTGTGGCCATAGCTGCTTAGAACAACAAAACAGATTTATTTTTGCTTTTACTGTTTTTTGCATTACACCTGATTGGGATCTACTGTCGGATGTTCATTTTTGAATTTGTGGAAAATGTCAAAATCTGATTTTAAATGGAAGATAAGATTTTGTCTTTTGGAGATATCTTTATGTTAGTTGTGTATGTCTTTGTAAAAGTGTAATGCTAGTAGTAACACCCTTTTCCTCGGCTGTTGAACCATTTATGAGATGGAGGGCAATCTCAGCCTGACCCATTGAGTCGGATTCAAAAATACACACGGGGCTAAAGATCACATGTAACATTAGTAAATTAGCTTGTTGCTTAATCCCACAGGAGACTTTTGGATAATGGAGCACAGAGGGGAGCTTTTTGGGGTTGAAAAACTAGACGTATTAAGAGAATAGAAATGGAGAAGAATGCAAGAGCAAAATTAGGGGTGGAAAGAAAAAAAATGAAAGGCTTGTTGTCTGTGAATGTGAATGCAAATATCAACATTTTTATACCTAATCCAACTCACTTGCCTGTTAGTGCATCGTCTGCTACTAAAGCAACTAACACTAGAATGCTTTGTGTTGTGAACTTTACTTTGTTTAAAACAAATGCTGTCTTTCTTTGCCAGCTTCATTAGCATGAGTCAAATGTAGTTGTTTGTACGTCTCAGTCTGTGATTTGAGTTGTGCCCTTGACATGTGTTCAGTCAGGCCAAGGCAGCGGGCCAGGGAGGAAGCTGAAAGATTCGAGTGTTGCTTTCGGTGGCGGTGGCTCTTCGTCTCTGATTCAGGAGGTCAGTAATCACCCCCACCCCCTATTCTTCATTTCTGCTTCGTTCAAATTGCACTCACACCCCCTTTTACTGGCCCCGGGCCTCTCTGTAACAACCCTTTCACCCAAACAGTAGTGACAGTCTGGAGAACTTATGCCTGTCCTGATGACAACATTATAAAAACAAAGACCTTTTTTTTTTTCTTCTCGCTGCAGATGAAATAATAGTGTGCAATCTTTGTTCATACTACAGTGTTTATAGGGACTCAAACCAGAAAGTGTATTATTTTTTTAATTCAGTGGTATCCAAAAGGGCTGCACGATTAATGGAGAAGATTGTGTGCGTGTTTTATCTGTAAAGCTGGTTCTTATCTCATCGGTAAATCCCCAGCATGTGCTTTCAGGGTACACAGAGCTGTAGTTTACTGACAAGCTATGCAAAAACAACTTCATATTCACATTTAATAATTTAATGAAAAATGTAATAATTTAATTGAATTGGTCAATGATGAAAATGAAGGTAATCGTTCTGTGCTGTTTGCGCATAGCTTCTCAATGAACAATGGCTGTCTTTCTGCTACATCTAAAAGCATGTGGAAATACCACATTTAAAAATGTTTTTTTCTCCAAACTCACTTCAAAATGTCAGTCGCGTGTTTGAAATAAATCCTTCTGTGAAATGATTCTGTAGTCGTCCGATGATTAGTCATGCTAAAACAACGAAAGCAGTTAAATCTTCTGTTTATAATGCAACACTATGGGGATTTCCTGAGTTTTTATTTCGTGGATGTTTGGAGTTTTTCATGTGAGAGTGCCCTCTGGCCTTCATGACAGTCACAGTTTTTAATTAATCAAAATTCAGAATAGGGCCGCACAGAATTTAGTTTCAGCATCGATATCCCAATAGAATTCTTTGCAATAGTCACATCGCAGGATATGCAATGTTGAGTTTGTATTACAATTCATCATTTGCATGCGTTTTGGATGCCTGTGATTGTGTAATGACCTTAAAAGCATAAGAATTTAACCATTTAACATAAGAAATTGTACCATTTCTGACTTTAACAATGATTAATTTCATTGTTGTGCTTAAATACTGTTAGACTCGGAAAACGATAAAACAATACTCCAATTGTATCTTTTCCTTGATTGTATTCATAGATTGTTATGCATGAAAATACTCACAACACACGTAAATACAGAAATGCACTGCAAATAGCACAGACCACATCGAAAATGTTTTGAGGGACCCCCAAAAATTTATTAGGTTTTATGAAGATGCACTCCCACTACAGAATCAAATTGAAATTTTTTAACAGAGCAAGGAATTTTTCACAGTATGTCTGATAATATTTTTTCTTTTGGAGAAAGTCTTATTTGTTTTATTTCAGCTAGAATAAAAGCAGCTTTTAAATTTTTAAACACCATTTTGGGGACAAAATTATCAGCCCCTTTAAGCTATATATTTTTTCTATAGTCCACAGAACAAACCATCATTATACCTTAACTTGCCTAATTACCCTAACCTGCCTAGTTAACCTAATTAACCTAGTTAAGCTTTTAAATGTCACTTTAAGCTGTACAGAAGTGTCTTGAAAAATATCTTGTAAATTTTATTTACTGTCATCATAGCAAAGATAAAAGAAATCAGTTATTAAAAATGAGTTATTAAAACTATTACGATTAGAAATGTGCTGAAAAAATATGCTCTCCGTTAAACAGAAATTGGGTAAAAAAAATAAATGGGGGCTAATAATTCTGACTTCAACTGTATATTGCAAAATATACAATGCTAGATTTTTCCAGTATCGTGCAGCCCTAGTTCAGAATTCATTTTGATTCAGTTTTGATGATCGTGCGGCCCTAGTATCCAGTGTGGTTGAAGACCTTTGGTTTTTTGTTTTTAGGACAAAAAACCCAATAAGGGCATGTTGACACAAAATATTGTTTATTTATTCGACTACATAGACTTCCCTTTGTTTTTCTATGGACACATTCTAGTCAGACACGATTGACTGTTAAATTTGTGTCTTTTGCAGCGTTTCTTGTTTGAAAGTTATTCTAAAACAATTAGATTTGATTGTATGTATTTAATTTTTTAAAATAAAAATGTCATGATACACAAGTTTTAACTTTATCGCCACATTTTTAGGATGCTGTTGATGCAAATGATGTCAGACTCAAATTCAAGTTTCACACTACATTTTCTTAATTATAAAAAACTCAAAACATTACAATTATAATTCATTTATAAAAGTAGAAAAATTAATTTTGAAAATCAAGATGAGTAAATAATGGCCAAATGTTCATATTTGGGTGTGGTTTGTTAGCCTCTGGTTTTCACAAGTAGTTGTAAAACACATGCATGAACGCAAACACGATTCCTTCATTCCAGTCAAGTATGTATTCAGCAGCAAATACGTTAGCAAGCCACTCGTGAGACAATGTAATGTTTGTCTTAACTCCAAAGTGTGATACTATCAAGGTCCAATTTAATCCAGTTGCTGCATTCATGAATAAGTGCTACTCAACTGACCGGCCAGTGCCCTACATAGTTCACAACCCACATGCGGCATAGAAGGCCTGCTTTGTTTTTAATGGCCGGCAATGAATTCAAGGGTCAATTAGAGCCTGAATTCCACAGGCATGTGATACAGCATTCCCCACCTTCATGAAACAGAGCTCAATTACAGCGAACGCTTTAATGCAGATGACAGCTCGGTTTTCCAGCCGTTGATCATTTCACTCATTTAAGAAGAGCAATTTTGGTAGTTTTGCCATGGCTGTCATTGACTTCCAACTGGCGTCCACACCTACCTGCTAAAAGATTTGTAGGTCAGTAAAACAGACCCTTTTGCTGCTGGTGCCATGACAGAGGAGAAACAGGCAACAATTAATATAGGTGAAACGGCATCAGATGCCTCTGGATCCCAAGGATTGTTTATTTTACAGATTTTGCCCTGCACCCAGTCCCTTTCCGCCTGCTGTAAAGATGATTTATCAGGTCTGAAGGGAACTATGAAATATTTGAAATGAAAACAAGCTTGTGTTGCGTTTTGCTCAGAGGGTTTGTGTTTTTTCGGTCTGGTTCAGTTGTTAAAGATGGCCGTAACCTAAAATATTTACACTCTGAAATAAAAAGCAACAGTGAACACCCACAGGGGGAAAACAGGCAGAGAAATGTGTTTTGCGAGGAAATGTGAAGAAAAATAGAGACATGAGGTATTTTTAATTTAATCTTAACTGTCCATTTTTTACTGTAGAGAGAATTTCTCAAGCACATATCCTCAGAAGCAGGAAGGTTAATTTCCTCCAGTTCGCTAGTTTGAGTGAATGCATTGTTTCACACGATGCTTAAAAAAGAAGGTCATTTGTTATGTTTTCTGACCAAAAATGCAGAAGTAGAATTGTTCTGATTGTCTTAGTTTGAAGAAATTAATTAATGGTATTATTATCTTTAGGTGTTTCTAACATTCACTGGTTATTTTAGTGTAAACTTCTAAAAGTCTTAAAAAAAAGTAAGAAGAATCTAGTCTACAATTAGGGCTGGATGATTAATCGAAAAAGAAAGAAAGATTAACTGAAAATCGGAAACTGTAATAGATGAAATTTGTTCTATGGTCTACAATAAAATAAAAAAAAGGAATTGACTGAGCTTTTGTTAATTACATAGTTTTTATGATTTCAAACTGTATTAAATGAATGTATATAGTTTTGAAGAGAAGAACGTTTACTTTTTAAATTGCATTATGTAAATACGATTCATAGGATACAAGTTATTTGATCTTTTTCACATGCTGGTTATTTTTAAAATGGCAATATTTTTACAAAAATTACTCAAACCATAAACAGTTTATTTTATTCAGCTGTTTTAATATTACAAAGATGAGAAATGTAAAAAGTCCCATGTTAAATATTTGAGTATATTCACAGTACAAAGCTTATAATAAATTATAAGAGAAAAAAAGTAAAAAAAAAAAAAAAGTATTTAAAATAACATATTAATTTGATATTGTATTAGAGGAAAACTATTCAATCAATAAATGTTTTGATTTAAGTCAAATCTCTTAGCCTTACTCACTATATTGCTGTTATTATATAACTGTATAATACAGAGATGCCCAAAGTAGGGCCCGAGGGCCAATATTGTCCCATTGTAACCTTTGATTTTACCCACCATGCCATCTGAGAAGAGAGTGAGAAAGATGGAGAGGGTTGGGGCGGATGCGTTTAAAAGAAATCGTCATTTATACTTTGACGTAACAATTTTTGTTTGTTTGTTTTATTGCTGAGCTGAAAACTGAAATGAAGTGTTTCAATTAAATGTTGTTTAATTAAAATGTTGTTTTTCAAATGTAAATACTTTCACTCGACAGATAGAGGACTATGCATCAGTGAGCAAATCAAGGCAAAAACTAGTGTAACTCCAATCTGTTATAAATGAGATTGCTTTTGTTTCTACTGTAATAAGTTCATTATAAACTGTAAAAAAATAAAATAAAAATTATAAGTTATTATAAAGCAATGTTCCTCAGTTTTTTTTTAAATGTTATAAAATAAATTAGGAAATTACCCATGGCAACTTTATTTACTTTTGACCCACTAACTTCAATCAAGTTTGGTTTTTGGCCCTTCATTAGAAAAGGTTTGGCCACCCCTGGTATAATATAATATATAACAGTTTCATATATGAATATATATCTAGCTTGTGCACATATTTTCAAAACAATTTTATTTTTAATTTTATTATTATTTTGCAACAGGTAAAAAACAAAGTGATAGGAAAAAAAGAGATGGTATAAACATCTTTTTTTTTAAATCTACCCAAAGAGTGTACGTAAGTGAAATATGGCCTTATAGGTAACATATATCATAATATCTCTTTTCATAGGGGCCATATGTCATATAATATAGCTGTATGAGTGCTTATGAAGACTTAAGCAGGAAATTGAGGAACATAGATTATTTCTAAGAATATAAAAATTTTAATGTGAGTTATGGTAACAACAGACCGTGTTGAAC